GGGAATACCATGCATTCCCAATGCATGGACTCCCTCTTCAGAGGGCTTGTGGGTAGTGCACATCCTTAGGGATGCCCTGATCCTTTGGGAATGCTGCTTGGGGCCTCAGCAGATCCATAGGGAAAAGTGGGATTGAAGGGCCCTGTTTTCCAAAGGAAGGCATCCCAAGGGTTTTCCCATAGCATTCCCTATGGGATTTAATCCCTATCCCCTTGGATTCCCTTCCATCCCCATGGATTCCCTTCCATCCCATTGGATATCCATAAACCCCCTTGGATTCCCTTAAATCCACCCCAATATTCCCTTCCATCCCATTGGATTCCCTCCCACCATTCCCTTTTCCCATCCATCTTCCCCCCCTTTCCGGTCCCCATCACCTCAGCATCCTTCATCCCATAAAACCCTCCCTCTTATTCCCGTTATTCCCATTCTTTTCCCATTTTTCCCCATTCTTTTCCCATTTTTTCCCATTCTTTTCCCATTTTTTCCCATTATTCCCATTCTTCCCATTTTTTCCCCATTCTTTTCCCATTTTTTCCCATTCTTTTCCCATTTTTTCCCATTATTCCCATTCTTCCCATTTTTCCCCCATTCTTTTCCCATTTTTTCCCAATTTTCCCATTCTTTTCCCATTTTTTCCCATTATTCCCATTATTCCCATTTTTTTCTCATTTTTCCCCATTCTTTTCCCATTATGCCCATTTTTTCCCCATTCTTTTCCCATTTTTCCCATTTCCCATTTTTTCCCATTCTTCCCATTCTTTTCCCATTTTTTCCCATTATTCCCATTTTCCCCATTCTTTTCCCATTTTTTCCCATTTTTCCCATTCTTCCCATTTTTTCCCATTCTTCCTCATTTTTTCCCATTCTTCTCATTTATTCCCATTCTTTTCCCATTTTTCCCCATTCTTTTCCCATTTTTTCCCATTCTTCCCATTTTTTCCCATTCTTCTCATTTATTCCCATTCTTTTCCCATTTTTTCCCATTCTTTTGCCATTTTTTCCCATTTTTTCCCTTTTTCCCATTTTTCCCCATTCTTTTCCATTATGCCCATTTTTTCCCATTTTTTCCCATTCTTTTCCCATTTTTCCCATTCTTTTGCCATTTTTCCCATTTTTTCCCTTTTTTCCCATTTTTTCCCCATTCTTTTCCATTATGCCCATTTTTTCCCATTCTTTTCCCATTTTTCCCCATTTTTTCCCATTCTTCCCATTATTCCCATTATCCCCATGCCATTCCCAACCTTTTCCCCCGGGCTCCCTCTTTTCCTGCCTTCATTCCCTATGGGAATCACGCCTCCACCTCGGAGAATCAGTTCCCATTCAGGAAGCATCCCCGCTTTCCGGATGCTATTTGGGATACCAATGGGAAATCCCTTGGGAATACCCAATGGGAATGGGGGGGAAACAAGGGGGGGGTACTGGGAAAGCAGATCGCTCCCAGTGTGCTTCCCAGTAATGGGAATAGAACAAACTGGGATGCGGCGTTCCTGAATCCCAAGGGATGCTTCCCATTCCCATCCTTTGTCCCCATCCTATGGGAGGGCTTTCCCAACCCCAATTCCATCATCCTGGAATGACATAAAAGGATAAAGGAGGTTGTAACCCATTGGTTCCCATTGGGATGGGATGAAGCGTTCCTAACTGGGAATACCAGGAATTCCCCTTGGAGGGGCTCGGAATCCCATTGGATTCGCCCTTGAATCCCTCTTTTCCCTTTGGGATTCCCAAATCCTGGAATCCCGACCTTCCGACTCCCCCAAACCCCATAACCTAGGGATGGGGAATAAGCGAATCCATAGGGATAACAAATAGGATCCATTTGGGAAAGCAATAGGTTCCTAAGGCTTTTTCCATGCCTTTTCCCAAGGAAAATTCCTGCTTTTCCATGCTCTTTGCATACATTTGCATATTAATGACTTGCAAATGAAGTCACGCATAGCTAATGACCTCCTGCTTGTGCCATAGGCCCCCAGCCAACCGCCCCCTTTTCCCATTCCCATTCCCATTCCATGCTTTTGGGATTGGGAATTATTCCCATTCCCATTCCATGCTTTTGGGATCGGGAATTATTCCCATTCCCATTCCCATTCCATGCTTTTGGGATCGGGAATTATTCCCATTCCCATTCCCATTCCATGCTTTTGGGATCGGGAATTATTCCCATTCCCATTCCATGCTTTTGGGATTGGGAATTATTCCCATTCCCATTCCCATTCCATGCTTTTGGGATCGGGATTATTCCCATTCCCATTCCATGCTTTTGGGATCGGGATTATTCCCATTCCCATTCTCATTCCATGCTTTTGGGACCGGGATTATTCCCATTCCCATTCCCATTCCATGCTTTTGGTTTTCCCCCTTTTCCATCCCTTTCAATCCTAAATCCAGGGAATATAAAAGGGGAAGGAGCCCTTGTTTCCATTGCAGCATCCCAAAGGCCCCAAATCCCGCTTATTCCCAACTATTCCCTCCCTTCCCAACACAATTCCATGGGTTTGGGGTTTGGGAAAGGGATCCAATGGGAATTAGGGGGGGGGGGCATGGAATACCTTCTGTAATCCCAATGGGAATGATCCTGGATTCCAAGTGGATGAGCTGGGAACCCGGAATTCCTTAATGGTTCATAATGGGGGGGGGTTGGAGCAGGATGGAGCCTGGAATCCCATGGGATTCGCTGCAGTGGTGTGCTGATATCCCGGATTTCCTCCTTAATCCAATGGGATTATTCCCAGTTATTCCCATTCACTGGGCAGCAATGGGAAGGGCATGGAATGGGCATCCGGTATTCCATGTTTTCCTTGGGATTAGCCGTGTTTTCCTTGGGATTAGCCATGGTATTCCATGTTTTCCTTGGGTTATTCCATGTTATCCCATGTTTTCCTTGGGTTTATCCATGTTATTCCATGTTTTCCTTGGGATTAGCCATGGTATTCCATGTTTTCCTTGGGATTAGCCATGGTATTCCATGTTCTCCTTTGGGATTAGCCATGGTATTCCATGTTTTCCTTGGGATTAGCCATGTTTTCCTTGGGTTTAGCCATGGTATTCCATGTTTTCCTTGGGATTAGCCATGGTATTCCATGTTTTCCTTGGGATTAGCCATGGTATTCCATGTTCTCCTTTGGGATTAGCCATGGTATTCCATGTTTTCCTTGGGATTAGCCATGTTTTCCATGGGTTTAGCCATGGTATTCCATGTTTTTCCCTTCCTTCCTTCCCTTTATCCCCCTATTCCCCTTCTTATCCCCCCTTATCTCCTCTTTACCCCCCCTTTATCCCCTCAAGCCCCCCTTGAACCCCCCCAAATCCCCTTTATCCCCCTCAAATCCCCTTTATCCTCCCCCAAGCCCCCTTTAACCCCTCAACCCCCTTTCAACCCCCTTAACCCCCTTTTAACCCCCCAACCCTCTTTATTGCCCCCCTAAACCCCCCTTTAATGCCCCCTTTAACCCCCCCAAACCCCATTTAACCCCCTCAAACCCCCTTTAGTCCCTCCTTTACACCCTAAAGCCCCCTTTAACCCCATCAAATGCCCCTTTAACCCCCTCAAACTCCACTTTAACCCCCTTAAATCCCCCTTTAACTCACTCTAAACCCCTTTTAACCCCCCCGAACTCCCCCTTAACCCCTTTTATCCCCTCTAAACCCCCTTAAACCCCCTTTTAACCCCCTTAAATCCCCCTTTAACCCCCTCAAACCCCCTTTTAACCCCCCTAAACCCCCTTTTAACCCCCCCAAAAACCCTTTAACCCCTTCCAACCCCTTCGATCCCCTCTAAACCCCTTTATCCCCCTTAACCCCCCCAAACCCCTTCCCCCCTTTACCCCAAACCTTTTATCCCCCTTTTACCCCCCTAAAATCCCCTTTATCCCCCCTCAAACCCCCTTTTTCCCCCCCAAATCCCTTTATCCCTTTTCCCCAAGCCCTTTTACCCCCCTTAAGCCCCTTTTTACCCCCAAACCCCCCTTTTTACCCCCCAAAACCCCTTTTTACCCCCTCAAACCCCCTTTTATCCACCCATTTACCCCTTTTATCCCCCTTAACCCCTTTTAACCCCCCTCAACCCCCTTTTTACCCCCCCAAACCCCCTTAATCCCCCTTAATCCCTTTTTACCCCTCAAACCCCCTTTATCTCCCCTTTTACCCCCCCAAACCCCCTTTTACCCCCTCAAACCCTCTTTATCCCCCCTCTTTACCCCCTTAATCCCCCTTTAACACCCTTTTACCCCCTCAAACCCCCTTCAACCCCCTTTTTACCCCCCCAAACCCCCTTTCCCCCCCCCAAACCCATTCCCCCCCCCATATCCCTCTATGTATGTCTATGGCTCGATGCCCAAGGCGGGGGGGAACGGGGGGGGGACCGGCAGCAGCTGCGCACAATGCTGGGAGGCCGCCAAGCAGCCGCCCCGGGGGCCAGATGGGCTCCGCCGTTCCCTTTTGGCTTACGAATGCACTCGAAGGGCGTAAAGGGGAGGGGAAATGAGGGGAAAAAGGGGGAAAACGGGAAAAAAAGGGGGAAAAAGGGGGAAAAAAGACGGGGAGCGGCCGCCATGGCCGGCGCGGAAGCGCTGAGGTAACGCGGGAGGCGGGAAGTGAAAGCGAGGCTGAGGGGGGGGGGGGGGGGGGGGGGGGAGGGAGGGGGGGGGAGTGCGGAGTGCGCATGCGCCGCCCACACCGCTCCCCCCCCTCCCCTTTTCCCCCCTCATTTACATATCGCGCGCGCCCCCCCGCCTCTCGGAGCCATCTGGGAGTGGGGGAGTTGCGCGCATGCGCCGCGCGCCGGCGAAGGAGGGGTGATTTGCATATCGCGCGCGCCCGGCCCCTTCTTCCCCCCCCCCGCGTTCTTTTCCCGTTTGGGAACCATCTGGGAGGGAATTGGGATCAAGCAGGAAAAGGAAAGGGGGGAGGGAAAAGCGGGATAAAGGGGGGGTGGGGGGGGGGGGTTGGGGTGGGGTGGGGGTGGGGAAGAGGAGTTAGGGAAGGGAAAAGTTGGGAGCATGTACTGCGCATTCCCGATGCCGGGCATGGGCGGCAAGTCCTGGATGTACTGCTATAACGGGAAGGCGGTAAGCGGGATAGCGGGAAAAGTTGGGAATGGCGGGGAAAAACGGGGGGGGGAGGGGTTATTTTAGGGGGGGATTTGGCGCTTTTCCCAACTTCGGGGGGAAAGAGGCGGGAAGCGGTAAAAGGAGGGAGATGGGGAGCGCGCTGAGCCGATCTACGCGGGAAAAGAAGGGGAAAGCGCGGGTTTTCCTGGCGGGAATAAGGGGGGAAAGGAGGGAAAAGCGCGGCGGTCCCATCCCGCTTTTTCCAGCCCAAAAAATACGGGGAAAATCCCAGTTCCAGCCGCTCCCATCCCGGTTTTCCCACTAAAAACAAGGGGAAAATCCCGATCCCGCTGTTTCCATCCCAGTTTTCCCACTAAAAACAAGGCGAAAATCCCAATCCCGCTGTTTCCATTCCGGTTTTCCCACTAAAACCAAGGGGAAAATCCCGGTTCCCGCCGCTCCCATCCCAGTTTTCCCACTAAAAACAAGGCGAAAATCCCGGTTCCCGTCGCTTCCATCCCAGTTTTCCCACTAAAAACAAGGCGAAAATCCCGATCCCGCTGTTTCCATTCCGGTTTTCCCACTAAAAACAAGGCGAAAATCCCAGTTCCAGCCGCTCCCATCCCAGTTTCCCCACTAAAAACAAGGGGAAAATCCCGATCCCGTTGCTTCCATCCCGGTTTTCCCACTAAAAAGAGGGGAAAATCCCATTTCCAGCCGCTCCCATCCCAGTTTCCCCAGTAAAAACAATCGGAAAATCCCATTTCCAACCGCTCCCATCCCAGTTTTCCCAGTAAAAACAAGGCGAAAATCCCGGTTCCCGTCGCTCCCATCCCGGTTTTCCCAGTAAAAACAAGGGGAAAATCCCGATCCCGTTGCTCCCATCCCAGTTTCCCCACTAAAAACAAGGTGAAAATCCCATTTCCAGCCGCTCCCATCCCAGTTTCCCCAGTAAAAACAAGGCGAAAATCCCGGTTCCAGCCGCTCCCATCCCGGTTTTCCCACTAAAAACAAGGGGAAAATCCCGATCCCGCTGTTTCCATTCCGGTTTTCCCAGTAAAAAGAGGGGAAAATCCCAGTTCCCGTCGCTCCCATCCCAGTTTTCCCACTAAAAACAAGGGGAAAATCCCGATCCCGCTGTTTCCATTCCGGTTTTCCCAGTAAAAGCAAGGCGAAAATCCCAGTTCCAGCCGCTCCCATCCCAGTTTCCCCACTAAAAACAATCGGAAAATCCCATTTCCAACCGCTCCCATCCCAGTTTCCCCACTAAAACCAACGGGAAAATCCCATTTCCAACCGCTCCCATCCCAGTTTCCCCACTAAAACCAAGGCGAAAATCCCAGTTCCCGTCGCTTCCATCCCGGCTTTTCCATTGGGATCAAATGGGAATTCGGGCATCAGCCCAACAGAAGGGGTCTGGTCGCCATCTGGAGCCATAGGGATGATGTTTATCCACCCCGCATCCCGTTTTTCCTTGTTTTCCCTATTATTTTCCCTATTATTTTCCCGATTTTTCCCCTTTTTTCCCCATTTTTTTCCCCGTTTTTCCCCTATTTCCAAACGGGGGGAAAAAAACGGGAATTTTCCCCGTTAAAAAAGAGGGATTTGGAAAGAAAAAAGCAGGGAAAACGGGATCTTTCCCTTCCCCTTTTTCCCCCATTCCCGGTTTTCCAGGCAGGATAATGGGGTTATCCCATTGGGAAAAGGCGTTTTGGGACTGGTGTTAATGGGAAAAAGGGGTTTTTCCCCCTTGGAATAGCATTGAGAAAAGGGGAAAGTGCGGTTTTGGGATCGCGGTACTGGGATAACTGGGAATCCCATAGGGAAACATTGGGATTTATAGGGGGGATGCGTCGTGCTTGCCTTATTCCCATTGGGATCCATGCGTTTGGGGTTCCCATACGCTCCATTGGGGTGGCAAAGTTTGCTCGCCCGTTCCCATTAACTTCCCCATTCCCCCCATTGGGAAAAGGGGGGGATATGGGATCGGGACCCCCCCCCATCCCTATTTAACCCCATTTGGGGTTGGTTTGGAATGGGGATCCATAAGGATCCATTGGGAACGCCGTCCACCCTATAGCGGGATCCATGCATCCCCCCCATCCCCTTTGTATGCGGGAATGCATTGGGGCCTCGCAGTGGGAAAAAGGGCAAAATTCCTCCTTTTTTTGGGGTTTCCATCCCAAAAATGGGATTTTTCCCCTTTTTACCCCATAAAATATAAAAATAAAAGGGATTTTTTCCCATTTTGGGGGAAAAAACCGGGATTTTCCCTGTTTTCCTTTGATTTTTCCCCTGTTTCCCATGCAATTCCTGCTTGGGATCCGCTCTGCAACGGGGCCAAACAAAGGGATAAAAGCCGCTTCCTATGGGGTTTCCCATTGCTTTACTGGGATCACGGGGAGAGGATGGGGAATGGAGCGGTATAGGGGGCTGTATGTCCATAGGCCTGTGTAGACCCTATATATAGGGTGTATGGGCCCTATATATAGGGTACCATATGGGTCGTATATAGGGGATATAGAGCTATATACACCGTATATGGTATCCTATATATGTAGTAGATGGTATATAGGGTTATATATAGTACTTATATATAGGTTTATATAGGGCTTTGTGTCCACAGGACTATATAGACTACCTATATATGATTCTATATAGGGTTTTATGTCTATAGGGTTATATATACTCCCCCTATATAACTATATAGGGTGCTTTATGTCCATAGGGCTATATATACTACCCATATATATAGGTTTATATAGGGCTTTATGGCCATAGGGCTATTGATACTACCCCTATATAACTATATAGGGTGCTTAATGTCCATAGGACTCTATATATGCTCCCTATATATAGCTCTATATAGGGTTTTATGTCCATAGGACTATATATACTACCCCTATATAACTATATAGGGTGCTTTATGGCCATAGGGCTATATAGACTACCTACATACAACTACCTATAGGGCTCTATAGGGCCACAGCGCCCTATATCTCCTTGCCTACGTGCCTCAATGCAGCTCTATATGGTCATAAAGCCATAGGACACCTGGAGTCTATACAGCCCTATATACACAAACCCGTTCCTATAGCTCCCTCTATAGTCCTATATAGACACAGAAAGCCCTATAGCCTCTATCTAAAGCCATAGAGGGCCCTATAGGTACAAGGGATATAGGATGCTTTGGCTCCCATAGGTCCTTAAAGCTCCCCTATAGGGCTGGCTTTAGCCTATAGGGCTGCATATATGTATTGCTATGGGTCTGTATGCCCCTATAGCTATATATAGGCCATAATACAGGACTATATGGTCCTGTACCTATATAATAGGGGATTATCTCTATTAAAACCTATATAAATAGGGTCATAGGGGCCTGTATATAGCTATATATAGGGTTATATAGGTAGCTGTAGAGCTATATAGGTATATATAGAGCTATATATATGTAGGGCTGTATGGGTATCTATAGGGCTATATAGGTATCTATAGGGCTATATAGGTATCTGTAGGGCCATATAGGTGTATATAGGGCTATATAGGTGTCTATAGGGCTATATAGGTATATATAGGGCTCTCTCTATATAGAGATCTATAGGTATCTATAGGGCTATATAGGTATCTATAGGGTTATATAGGTGTCTATAGGGCTATATAGGTGTCTATAGGGCTATATAGGTATATATAGGGCTATATATATATAGGGCTATATAGGTATCTATAGGGCTATATAGGTATCTATAGGGCCATATAGCTGTCTGTAGGGCTATATAGGTGTCTATAGGGCTATATAGGTATAGGGCTATATAATGGGTGGAATTATTCCGAATTTAGGTGAAATTATTGGGAATTTAGGGAAATTACTGGGAATATAGCTGAAATTATTTGGGATTTTGGGGGAATTATTCAGAATTTAGGTGAAATTGGGAATTTAGGGGAAAATATTGGGAATTTGGGTGAAATTATATGGAATTCAAGTGAAATTAGTGGGAATTTGGGTGAAATTATGGAATTTCGGTGAAATTCAGATTTTCGGTGGAATTATTCGGGATTTAGGTGAAATTATGGGAAATTTAGGGGAAATTACTGAAAATATAGGTGAAATTTGGAATTTTGGTGGAATTATTCGGCATGTTGGTGAAAATATTGGGAATTTCGGTGGAATTATTTGGAATTTAAGGGAAATTCGAAATTTTGGTGGAATTATTCGGAATTTTGGTGGAATTATTGAGAATTTAGGTGAAATTATTGGGAATTTAGGTGAAATTATTGGGAATTTTGGTAAAATTCAGAATTTTGTTGGAATTATTCAGAATTTTGGTAGAATTTAGAATTTACGTGAAAATATATGAAATTTAAGTGAAATTATTTGGAATTTTGGTGGAATTATTCGGAATTTTGGTAAAATTATTCAGAATTTAGGTGAAATAATTCGGGTTTTAGGCAAAATTGGGAATTTAGGGGGAATTCCTGGAAATATGGGTGAAATTACTTGGAATTTTGTGAAATTCGAAATTTCGGTGGAATTATTCGGAATTTAGGTAAAATTATTTGGGATTTAGGTGAAATTATTCAGAATTTAGGTGAAATCGGGAATTTAGGGGAAAATATTGGGAATTTGGGTGAAATTCTTTGGAATTTAAGTTAAAATATTGGGAATTCGTGTGAAATTATGGAATTTTAGTGAAATTCTTCAGAATTTAGGTGAAATTATTGGAAATTTAGGGGAAATTACTGGGAATATAGGTGAAAATATTTGGAATTTTGGTGGAATTTGGAATTTTAATAGAATTATTTGGTATTTTGGGGGAATTATTCAGAATTTAGGTGAAATTATTTGGAATTTAGGGAAAATTACTGGGAATTTCGGTGAAATTATTGGTATTTAGGGGAAATTACTGGGAATTTCGGTGAAATTATTGGGATTTAGGGGAAATTACTGGGAATTTCGGTGAAATTATTGGGATTTAGGGGAAATTACTGGGAATTTCGGTGAAATTATTGGGATTTAGGGGAAATTACTGGGAATTTCGGTGAAATTATTGGGATTTAGGGGAAATTACTGGGAATTTCGATGAAATTATTGGGATTTAGGGGAAATTACTGGGAATTTCGGTAAAATTATTGGGATTTAAGGGAAATTACTGGGAATTTCGGTGAAATTATTGGGATTTAGGGGAAATTACTGGGAATTTCGGTGAAATTATTGGGATTTAGGGGAAATTACTGGGAATTTCGATGAAATTATGGGAATTTTGTTGGACTCAGTCGGAATTTAGGTGAAATTATTGGGAATTTAGGTGAAATCATGGGATTTTCGTGAAAATATTCGGAATTTCATTGGATTTTAGGTGAAAATCCTTGGATTTTAGTGAAATTCCTTGGATTTTAAGTGTTTTCATTGGATTTGATTCGCTTTAATCCCATTTTAGGTGGATTTAGTCCCATTTTGGGTGGGTTTATTTGAAATTTGGGCAAATTTCGGTGTTTTTCCGGTGTTTTTCAGTTTTGGGTGAATTTTTCCTAATTTTGGGTCATTTTCTTCAATTCCATTGGATTTGATTCCATTTTAGGGGAATTTACCTCAATTTTGGTGGTTTTCTTGGGATTTAGGTGAATTTATGGGGATTTTGGGTGAAATTTACCCCATTTTGGGCCATTTTATTGCGCTGGATTGCATTTTGGGTGAAATTACTTCAATTTTAGGTGGTTTTATTTCATTTTCCTCAATTTTAGGTGAATTTAGGTGGATTTTAGGTGAATTTACACCCATTTTAAGTGAATTTAAGTCAATTTTAGGTGTTTCTTGCCTTTTAGTTGGGTTTGGGTGAATTTAGGTCCATTTTGGGTCCAATGCCATTCCCATTGCCATTCCCATTGCCATCCCATTGCCATCCCCATTGCCATCCCCATTATTCCTATTATGGCTATTATTATTGCTATTATTCCTATTAGCATTCAGGGATAGTGATTGCTACTATTATTCCCATTATTCCTATGATTATTCCACTTATTAATCCTATTATTCCCATTATTAATTACTCCTATTATTACTATTAGCATTACAGTGATAGGGATTGCCATTATTACTCCCATTATTGCTATTATTATTGCTGTCATCACTATGATTACTCCTATTAGTGCTAATATTATTGCTATTATTACTATTAGTATCACAGTGATCATCACTATTATTGCTATTATTATTACTATTAGCATTACAGCAATCGTTATTACCATTATCACCACTATTATTGCTATTATTTTTACTATTATTACCATTATTACCTCTATTATTATTATTAGTACTATTAATACTGCTATCATAGCTATTATTATTACTATTATTACTACTAGCATTGCAGTGATCATTATTAGCATTATTTCCACTTATTATTGCCATTATTACCACTATTCTTACTATTATTAGTACTATCCTTGCCATTATTACCACTATTATTGCTATTATTATTACTATTAGCATTAAGATGATCATTGTTACCATTATTACCACTATTATTGCTATTATTAACCCTATTATTGCTATTATTACCACTATTATTACCATTATCACCACTATTATTACTATTATTAGTGCTATTCTTACCATTATTATCACTATTATTGCTATTATTATTACTATTAGCATTAAGATGACCATTATTACCACTATTGCCACTTATTATTGCTATTATTATTACTATTATTGCTATTATTAACCCTATTATTGCTATTAATACCACTATTAGTGCTATTATTAGTACTATTCTTACCATTATTACCACTGTTATTGCTATTAGCATTGTGATGATCATTATTACCACTATTACTGCTATTATTAACCCTATTATTGCTATTATTACCACTATTATTACCATTATCACCACTATTATTACTATTATTAGCACTATTCTTACCATTATTACCGCTATTATTGCTATTATTATTACTATTAGCATTAATATGACCATTATAACCATTATTAACATGGGAATAATGGGAATAACAACAGCAAGGGCCTGGAAAAGGAGCTTTAGGGCCTGTTCCAACCGGAACCAATTGGATGCTGTTATTAGGATTATTAATAGGAGGATTAGTGCTGTTATTAGTGCTATTGTTAGTGCTATTATTAATGCTATTATTAGTGCTATTCCTATTATTACCCCCCCCATGGCAGGGATTGCGGCTTTAAGGTCCCTTCAACCTGCTTCTATTATCCCTATTATTATCCCTGGTATTATCCCTGTTATTATCCCTATTTCATTATTCCCATTATTATCCCTATTATTATCCCTATTATAATCCCTATTATTCTTCCTATTTTCCCTATTATTCTTCCTATTATTATACCTGTTATTATCCCTATTATTCTTCCTGTTATTATCCCTATTATTACCCTATTAGTACCCCTTTTATTATCCCTATTATTCTTCCTACTATTATCCCTATTTTCTTCTTCCTAGTATTATCCCTATTATAATCCCTATTATTCCTATTATTATCCCTTTTATTATCCCTATTATTCCTATTATTATCCCTATTTTATTATTCCTATCATTATCCTTATTATAATCCCTATTATTCTTCCTATTATTCTCCCTATTATCCCTTTAATGATCCCTATTATTATACCTATTATTCTTCCTATTATTATCCCTATTTTTCTCCCTATTATCCCTTTTATTATCCCTATTTTTCTCCCTATAATCCCTATTATTATCCCTATTATCCCTACTCCATCATTCCCATTCCACCCACCTTACCACCTCCATCCCAAATCCAACCCATTATCCATACACCATTCCCATTATCCCGACACCATTCCCATTATCCCAACACCATTCCCATCATCCCACACCATTCCCATTATCCCACACCACCCAACCAACACCACCCACATCCTTACTATTCCCATTATCCACACCATTCCCATTATCCCTACACCATTCCCATTATCCACACCCCTATTATTCTTCCTATTATTATCCCTATTTTTCTCCCTATTATCCCTATTATTATCTCTATTATTATCCCTATTATCCCTACTCCATCATTCCCATTCCACCCACCTTACCACCTCCATCCCAAATCCAACCATTATCCCGACACCATTCCCATTATCCCAACACCATTCCCATCATCCCGACACCATTCCCATTATCCCGACACCATTCCCATTATCCCAACACCATTCCCATTATCCCGACACCATTCCCATTATCCCAACACCATTCCCATTATCCATACACCATTCCCATTATCCATACACCATTCCCATTATCCCGACACCATTCCCATTATCCCAACACCATTCCCATTATCCCAACACCATTCCCATTATCCATACACCATTCCCATTATCCCGACACCATTCCCATTATCCATACACCATTCCCATTATCCCAACACCATTCCCATTATCCCGACACCATTCCCATTATCCAGACACCATTCCCATTATCCCGACACCATTCCCATTATCCCAACACCATTCCCATTATCCCAACACCATTCCCATTATCCCAACACCATTCCCATTACCCCCAATGGGAATTGCGGGGGGGGATGCTCCATGTTTTGGGAACGCTTGGAATCAATGGGATTTGGGAACAGCTCCGGAGCATCCCATTGGATCCCCCCCATTGGAAATGATGGGATCCATGCTCATCCCATTGCTGCCCCCATTGGGATCAAGCAGGGTTTGGGGTTTGGAGCAGCATTCCCAATGGGATACAAGGGGGATGCTCCGATCCGGTACCCATCCCATAGGAGAGGGGATGCGGAACTGGTCCAGATGGGGCCATTGGGATGCAGGGATATAGGGATGCGACTGGGGCATTGGGATACAGGGATATAGGGATGGGATTTGGGTTATGGGATACAGGGATACAGGGATATAGGGATGGGATTTGGGTATCAGGATGCAGGGATGCGATTGGGGCATTGGGATACAGGGATGCAGGGATATAGGGATGGGATTTGGGTTATGGGATACAGGGATACAGGGATATAGGGATGCGATTGGGGCATTGGGATACAGGGATACAGGGATATAGGGATGGGATTTGGGTTATGGGATACAGGGATATAGGGATATAGGGATGGGATTTGGGTTATGGGATACAGGGATACAGGGATGCGATTGGGGCATTGGGATACAGGGATGCAGGGATATAGGGATGGGATTTGGGTTATGGGATACAGGGATATAGGGATGCGATTGGGGCATTGGGATACAGGGATGCAGGGATATAGGGATGGGATTTGGGTTATGGGATACAGGGATATAGGGATGGGATTTGGGTTATGGGATACAGGGATATAGGGATGGGATTTGGGTTATGGGATACAGGGATATAGGGATGGGATTTGGGATACAGGGATGCAGGGATGCGATTGGGGCATTGGGATACAGGGATACAGGGATACAGGGATGGGATTTGGGTTATGGGATACAGGGATGCAGGGATATAGGGATGCGATTGGGACATTGGGATACAGGGGTTCCCTTATCCATGCATAGCCAATGGGTTTCCCATCCCATTATCCATGATTTGGGAATATCGGGGCCGGTTCCATCCATCCCCCTCTTTTGTATAGGGGAATTGCTTGGCATTCCATTGGGATTTTGATGCTCTTTGAGTGGCAACGATGGAAAACCGGGATATTCCCCATGGATCCCTATGGAATTCTATGGGGTTTATGGGAATCCCCCCAAATCCTAAGGAAAAAAGGGGTTTTCCTACTTATTTTAGGGAATAATCCATGTTTCCCCCCATTTTTAGGGGATTCCATGCTTTGGGATGCCCCTTTTGCGCTCATCCCATTGGGATGCCGCCTGCATCCATCCCAACCGGAAATCCCAATGGAATTCCCCCATTCCCATGGGATTTAGGGCCGGAATCCCAATACAAAGGGGGGGGAATGGGGTTTTCCCCCCTGTTTCCCCCAATTCCATAGGGAATTGTGGTTATTTTCCCCTATAGGTTTATGCCCCCTCGGCCAGCACCGCCGACTACAACCGGGATTCTCCCAGTTTCCCAGTCTCCAAGGGGGGAACCAGCACATTCCCAAGCTCCTTCTTCATGCAAGGTAAGGGATGGATGGGAATTCCCATTGGGAACGGCCCTAAAAGGACCCCAATGGGGTTAAAACCCCATTATCCCCATTGAAACCCCATGGGAAGTGATGCTAACCGGATGCTTCGTTCCCATTGGGGGACCGATCCCTCTTGCAGCCAATGGGAATCGCCCAACTTCCAGCATCAACCCCAATGGATAATGGGGTTTTCCCATTGGGAACGGCCCTAAAAGGACCCCAATGGGGTTAAAACCCCATTATCCCCATGGAAACCCCATGGGAAGCGATGCTAACCGGATGCTTCGTTCCCATTGGGAGACCGATCCCTCTTGCAGCCAATGGGAATCGCCCAACTTCCAGCATCATCCCCATAGCATCCCCAATGGATAATGGGGTTTTCCCATTGGGAACGGCCCTAAAAGGACCCCAATGGGGTTAAAACCCCATTATCCCCAATGGAAACCCCATGGGAAGCGATGCTAACCGGATGCTTCGTTCCCATTGGGAGACCGATCCCTCTTGCAGCCAATGGGAATCGCCCAACTTCCAGCATCATCCCCAATGGATAATGGGGTTTTCCCATAGGGAACGGCCCCAAAAGGACCCCAATGGGGTTAAAACCCCATTATCCCCATGGAAACCCCATGGGAAGCGATGCTAACCGGATGCTTCGTTCCCATTGGGGAAGCCGATCCCTCTTGCAGCCAATGGGAATTGCCCAACTTCCAGCATCATCCCCAATGGATAATGGGGTTTTCCCATTGGGAACGGCCCCAAAAGGACCCCAATGGGGTTAAAACCCCATTATCCCCAATGGAAACCCCATGGGAAGCGATGCTAACCGGATGCTTCGTTCCCATTGGGAGACCGTTCCCTCTTGCAGCCAATGGGAATCGCCCAACTTCCAGCATCATCCCCATAGCGTTCCCAATGGATAATGGGGTTTTCCCACTGGGAACGGCCCTAAAAGGACCCCAATGGGGTTAAAACCCCATTATCCCCAATGGAAACCCCATGGGAAGCGATGCTAACCGGATGCTTCGTTCCCATTGGGAGACCGATCCCTCTTGCAGCCAATGGGAATCGCCCAACTTCCAGCATCATCCCCAATGGATAATGGGGTTTTCCCACTGGGAACGGCCCTAAAAGGACCCCAATGGGGTTAAAACCCCATTATCCCCATGGAAACCCCATGGGAAGCGATGCTAACCGGATGCTTCGTTCCCATTGGGAGACCGATCCCTCTTGCAGCCAATGGGAATCGCCCAACTTCCAGCATCATCCCCATAGCGTTCCCAATGGATAATGGGGTTTTCCCACTGGGAACGGCCCCAAAAGGACCCCAATGGGGTTAAAACCCCATTATCCCCAATGGAAACCCCATGGGAAGCGATGCTAACCGGATGCTTCGTTCCCATTGGGAGACCGATCTCTTGCAGCCAATGGGAATCGCCCAACTTCCAGCATCATCCCCATAGCGTTCCCAATGGATAATGGGGTTTTCCCACTGGGAACGGCCCTAAAAGGACCCCAATGGGGTTAAAACCCCATTATCCCCAATGGAAACCCCATGGGAAGCGATGCTAACCGGATGCTTCGTTCCCATTGGAGAAGCCGATCCCTCTTGCAGCCAATGGGAATCGCCCAACTTCCAGCATCATCCCCAATGGATAATGGGGTTTTCCCACTGGGAACGGCCCTAAAAGGACCCCAATGGGGTTAAAACCCCATTATCCCCAATGGAAACCCCATGGGAAGCGATGCTAACCGGATGCTTCGTTCCCATTGGGAGACCGATCCCTCTTGCAGCCAATGGGAATCGCCCAGCTTCCAGCATCATCCCCATAGCGTCCCCAATGGATAATGGGGTTTTCCCACTGGGAACGGCCCCAAAAGGACCCCAATGGGGTTAAAACCCCATTATCCCCAATGGAAACCCCATGGGAAGCGATGCTAACCGGATGCTTCGTTCCCATTGGGAGACCGATCCCTCTTGCAGCCAATGGGAATCGTCCAACTTCCAGCATCATCCCCATAGCATCCCCAATGGATAATGGGGTTTTCCCACTGGGATGCACTTCCCACCCCAATGCATTCCCAATAGCATCCCATAGGGATCCCAGCCTTTCCCTTTTGCTTCCCAGATGGGCACCATCACGGCAGCGATCCATGGAGCTCTTCCAGTGGGATGAACCAGCCCGGTTATGGGGGGATACTGGGAAACTCATCCCATATCCCCCAGTCCAGCAGCTACTGCAGCCTGCATCCGCATGAGCGCCTGGTAAGGACCAGTATCATTATGGGGCTCTATGGGGGACCAGTATCATTATGGGGCTCTATGGGGGACCAGTATCATTATGGGGCTCTATGGGGGACCAGTATCATTATGGGGCTCTATGGGGGACCAGTATCATTATGGGGCTCTATGGGGGACCAGTATCATTATGGGGCTCTATGGTGGACCAGTATCATTATGGGGCTCTATGGGGGACCAGTATCATTATGGGGCTCTATGGGGGACCAGTATCATTATGGACCTCTATGGTGGTCCAGCATCATTATGGACCTCTATGGTGGTCCAGCATCATTATGGACCCCTATGGTGGTCCAGCATCATTATGGACCTCTATGGTGGTCCAGCATCATTATGGACCTCTATGGTGGTCCAGCATCATTGGGGTCCTCACTATGGTGGTCCAGCATCACCCTATGGTGGTCCAGCATCATTAACCCATGGTCCAGCATCACCCTATGGTGGTCCAGCATCATTATGGACCTCTATGGTGGTCCAGCATCATTATGGACCTCTATGGTGGTCCAGCATCATTATGGACCTCTATGGTGGTCCAGCATCACCCTATGGTGGTCCAGCATCATTATGGACCTCTATGGTGGTCCAGCATCATTGGGGTCCTCTATGGTGGTCCAGCATCATTATGGACCCCTATGGTGGTCCAGCATCATTATGGACCTCTATGGTGGTCCAGCATCACTATGGACCTCTATGGTGGTCCAGCATCATTATGGACCCCTATGGTGGTCCAGCATCATTGGGGTCCTCTATGGTGGTCCAGCATCATTGGGGTCCTCTATGGTGGTCCAGCATCATTGGGGTCCTCTATGGTGGTCCAGCATCATTATGGTCCTCTATGGTGGTCCAGCATCATTATGGACCCCTATGGTGGTCCAGCATCATTATGGACCTCTATGGTGGTCCAGCATCATTATGGACCTCTATGGTGGTCCAGCATCATTATGGACCTCTATGGTGGTCCAGCATCATTATGGACCTCTATGGTGGTCCAGCATCATTATGGACCTCTATGGTGGCCCAGCATCATTATGGACCTCTATGGTGGTCCAGCATCATTATGGGGCTCTATGGTGGTCCAGCACCATTATGGACCTCTATGGTGGTCCAGCATCATTGGGGTCCTCTATGGTGGTCCAGCATCATTATGGACCTCTATGGTGGTCCAGCACCATTATGGACCTCTATGGTGGTCCAGCATCATTGGGGTCCTCTATGGTGGTCCAGCATCATTATGGACCTCTATGGTGGTCCAGCACCATTATGGACCTCTATGGTGGTCCAGCATCATTGGGGTCCTCTATGGTGGTCCAGCATCATTATGGACCTCTATGTGGTCCAGCATCATTATGGACCTCTATGGTGGTCCAGCATCATTGGACTCTATGGTGGTCCAGCATCATTATGGACCTCTATGGTGGTCCAGCATCATTATGGACCTCTATGGTGGTCCAGCATCATTATGGACCTCTATGGTGGACCAGCATCATTATGGACCTCTATGGTGGACCAACCCTAGTGGTCCAGCATCATTATGGACCCCTATGGTGGACCAGCATCATTATGGACCTCTATGGTGGTCCAGCATCACCCTATGGTGGTCCAGCATCATTATGGACCCCTATGGTGGTCCAGCATCATTATGGACCTCTATGGTGGTCCAGCATCATTATGGACCCCTATGGTGGTCCAGCATCATTATGGACCTCTATGGTGGTCCAGCATCATTATGGACCCCTATGGTGGTCCAGCACCATTATGGGGCTCTATGGTGGTCCAGCATCATTATGGACCTCTATGGTGGTCCAGCATCATTATGGGGCTCTATGGTGGTCCAGCATCATTATGGACCTCTATGGTGGTCCAGCATCATTGGGGTCCTCTATGGTGGTCCAGCATCATTATGGACCTCTATGGTGGACCAGCATCATTATGGACCCCTATGGTGGTCCAGCATCATTATGGACCTCTATGGTGGTCCAGCATCATTATGGACCTCTATGGTGGTCCAGCATCATTATGGACCCCTATGGTGGCCAGCATCATTATGGACCTCTATGGTGGTCAGCATCATTAGGACCCTATGGTGGACCAGCATCATTATGGACCCTATGGTGGTCCAGCATCATTAGGACCCTATGGTGGTCAGCATCATTGGCCCTATGGTGGCCAGCATCATTATGGACCTCTATGGTGGACCAGCATCATTAGACCCCTATGGTGGTCCAGCATCATTATGGACCCCTATGGTGGTCCAGCATCATTATGGACCTCTATGGTGGTCCAGCATCATTATGGACCTCTATGGTGGTCCAGCATCATTGGGGTCCTCTATGGTGGACCAGCATCATTATGGTCCTCTATGGTGGTCCAGCATCATTGGGGTCCTCTCCACAAGGTCCTCACCACACAAACCACCACACAAACCCTATGGTGGTCCAGCATCATTATGGACCTCTATGGTGGTCCAGCATCATTATGGACCTCTATGGTGGTCCAGCATCATTATGGACCTCTATGGTGGTCCAGCATCATTATGGACCCCTATGGTGGTCCAGCATCATTGGGGTCCTCTATGGTGGTCCAGCATCATTATGGACCTCTATGGTGGTCCAGCATCATTATGGACCTCTATGGTGGTCCAGCATCATTATGGACCCCTATACCACACAAACCCCAACCACACAAACTCTATGGTGGTCCAGCATCATTATGGTCCTCTATGGTGGTCCAGCATCATTGGGGTCCTCTATGGTGGTCCAGCATCATTATGGTCCTCTATGGTGGTCCAGCATCATTATGGACCCCTATGGTGGTCCAGCATCATTATGGACCTCTATGGTGGTCCAGCATCATTATGGACCCCTATGGTGTCCAGCACCATATGACCTCTATGGTGGTCCAGCATCATATGGCTCTATGGTGGTCCAGTATCACTATGGACCTCTATGGTGGTCCAGCATCATTATGGACCTCTATGGTGGTCCAGCATCATTATGGTCCTCTATGGTGGTCCAGCATCATTATGGACCTCTATGGTGGTCCAGCATCATTATGGACCTCTATGGTGGTCCAGCATCATTATGGACCTCTATGGTGGTCCAGCATCATTATGGACCTCTATGGTGGTCCAGCATCATTATGGACCTCTATGGTGGTCCAGCATCATTATGGACCTCTATGGTGGTCCAGCATCATTGGGGTCCTCTATGGTGGTCCAGCATCATTATGGACCTCTATGGTGGTCCAGCATCATTATGGACCTCTATGGGGGACCAGCATCATTATGGACCTCTATGGTGGTCCAGCATCATTATGGACCCCTATGGTGGTCCAGCATCATTATGGACCTCACACACAAACCCCTATGGTGGTCCAGCATCACCCTATGGTGGTCCAGCATCATTATGGACCCCTATGGTGGTCCAGCATCATTATGGACCTCTATGGTGGTCCAGCATCATTATGGACCTCTATGGTGGTCCAGCATCATTATGGACCTCTATGGGGGTCCAGCATCACCCTATGGTGGTCCAGCATCATTATGGACCCCTATGGTGGTCCAGCATCCTTATGGCCCCAAATGATGCCCCATCATCCTCCTTAGGGTCCTCCCCACTGGTCCAACCCCATTACCTCCTCCCTAAACCCCATCCATCCCATTTTATCCCCCCCCTATAACCCCTATTGGGCTCCGGCCCCATTATCCCTGCTCATCCCCATCCTTTTCCCATACAGAGCTTCCCATCCCATTCCTCTGGGGACCTCAATTCCAGTCTCCCCCCGATGTCCACCTTCCATCGCGGCACCAGTGGCCACTACAGCACCTCCTCCTGTACCCCACCAGCCAATGGCAACGACCCCATTATGGGTGAGTGCTTATGGGGCAGCTATGGGGCAAGTTATGGGGCTGGGGGTCAGAGGGATGAAGGGTAAATGGGGTGGGATGGGATGGGATCCCATTAATACATAGGGATGGGGGCAATGGGAACGTGGGGCCTTAGGGATGCTGGTACCCTAGGGATGAAGGCAAACTGGGATGGGATGGGATCCCATTAATACATAGGGATGGGGGCAATGGGAACATGGGTCTTTATGGATGCTGGTACCCTAGGGATGAAAGCAAACTGGGATGTGATGGGATCCCATTAATAGGGATGGAGCCAATGGGATCATGGGTCTTTATGGATGCTGGTACCCTAGGGATGAAGGCAAACTGGGATGGGATGGGATCCCATTAATAGGGATGGAGCCAATGGGATCATGGGTCTTTATGGATGCTGGTACCCTAGGGATGAAGGCAAACTGGGATGTGATGGGATCCCATTAATAGGGATGGAGCCAATGGGATCATGGGTCTTTATGGATGCTGGTACCCTAGGGATGAAGGCAAACTGGGATGTGATGGGATCCCATTAATAGGGATGGAGCCAATGGGATCATGGGTCTTTATGGATGCTGGTACCCTAGGGATGAAGGCAAACTGGGATGGGATGGGATCCCATCCATACATAGGGATGGAGCCAATGGGATCATGGGGCCTTATGGATGCTGGTACCCTAGGGATGAAGGCAAACTGGGATGGGATAATGGGAAGCATCCATACATGGTAATGGGTCCATTGGGACTCACCCAACCTATGGGATGGGATGGAGGCACTGGGAAGCATCCCAATCCCAACCCTATGGAGCATCCCCTATGGAATGGGATGCAACCGGAAGTCATCCCCCTTTAAAATGGGGATGGATCCTATGGGAAATGGGATGGAGGGGGGGGGATAATGGGAATACTGGGAGCAATGGGAATTCCTGACCTTTATCCCTTCTCTTTTCCAGCCACCAGAGGAACTGGGGCAACCGGAAGCTCCCAAACTGGGGATGCCCTTGGGAAAGCGCTCGCATCCGTAAGGATCCCTCCCCATTATTCCCTATTGGGATGCCCATTCCCCAATGGGAGCGGGGTGGGATCCACCCCATCCCATCCCAATGGGATCCCCAAAGGGCATCAATGGGATTCCATACTGGTGTTCCCTAAGGGGTATCCATCCCTGCATCCCTATGGGGTATCAAGGATGCTTTATGTATCCCACCCTGTATCCCTGTTTTTTGGGGTTCTATGGGGTTCTATAATGAGGATCCAATGGGATTTGGGGTTTCCATAGCAACAGAGCTCATTGGGGACCATCATCCCATAAGGATCCAATGGGATTTGGGGTTTCTATAGCAACAGAGCTCATTGGGGACCATCATCCCATAAGGATCCAATGGGAATGGGGGTGTTGGGATGGAGGGATGCTGAGGCCATCATCCCATAAGGATCCAATGGGATTTGGGGTTTCCATAGCAACAGAGCTCATTGGGATCCATCATTCCTTAAGGAGCCAATGGGAATGGGGGTATTGGGATGGAGGGATGCTGAGGCCATCATCCCATAAGGATCCAAT